CATGTGACTCCAGGCCCACAGCAATGTGGCTGACCTTTAAGTACACTCTTGACATTGCCCACATCCCATGAATGAACTAACAAAAAAAAATATATTATGGGGAACCTTGACAAGCAGATGAGAGAGAAGGGCGTAGGACGTACAATGGTCATTTTGGTGGAGACTTAAGTGATGCTAGTATGGGCTGCTTGGCAGAAAGGCCTGTATCTAAGATAATAAGGTGTAGAGCTGGATGAATACAGCAGGCCACGCAGCATCAGATGAGCAGGAAAGCTTACGTTTCGGGCCTAGACCCTTCTTCAGAAATGAAGATTCAAAAGATTTCTCTCATTCAACTTCTCAAGTCTGCTTAACCTTTCCAGAAGATCACGGCTGAACTGTCCCTCATTCCAGTTTCCCACATTTCTACCCTGCGTCTGAATATTCTTGCCCAAAATAAAATCTATCAATCTCAGTCTTAAAGGTTCCTGTTATTCTCCTCCTATGTTTCCGCTACACATTAAGTGAAACAGTACTTCCTAATTTCAAAACAAAAGCAAACTACTGTTGGATGGTGGAAATACTCAGCTAGATTCAGCAGGAGCGAGTCAGAGGGAATCTTTTATTGTGATATCTAACTTTCTGATTTCAGAACTGAGTGACTTCTTGCTGATGTTAAGACCGTGTCCCCATTGGTTTTCCAGCAGATGACCTAGCTTCACTGGCCAAGCTGTTCCAGTACTACATGACAACATAGAAAGTTTCCCAGGTATTTCCTGTACACAAAAAAGCACAATCCAAGCTGGCCAATTACTGCCCCATCGGTGAACTCTCAATTATCTGTAAAATGGCGGAGAGTGTATTAACAGAGCTGCCTATAAGCACTTACTCATCAATAAACTGCTCACTGATGTACAGTGTGATTCCTCCAGGGCCATGATCTCATGCCCTTATTATAGCCTTGGTCCAAGTAAGGACAAAAGAAGTGAACTGAAGAGGACAAGTCAGAATGGCTGCGCTTGACATCAAGGCTACATCTGCCTAGGTATGGCATTAAGTGGAGTTATACAGCACAGAAATAGACCCTTCAGTCCAACCTGTCCACACAGACTGGTCATTCCAATCTGACCTAGTCCTTTTTGCAGTATTTGGCCCATATCCCTTTAAACTGTTACTATATATTTACCCATCCAGATGCCTTTTAAATGGTGTAATTGTACCCGCCTCCACCATTTCTTCCGGTAGCACCACTTTCTGCATGAAAACATTACCCCTCAGGTCCTTGTTAAATTTTTCCCCTTTCACCTATGTCCTCTAGTTTTGAGCTCACCCACCTTAGGATAAAGACCTTGGCTATTCACACTATCCATGCCCCTCGTGATTTTATAAACCCCTATAAACTCACCCCTCAGCCTCCGATACTCCAGGGGAAAAAGGCCCCAGCCGAGTCAGCATCTCCTGAGAGCTCAAATCCTCCAGTCTCAGCAACATCCTTGTAAATCTTTTCTGCACTCTCTCAAGT